CAGAAAAGAGAAGGTCTATTTTTAGTCCCAGGTACCTGGCACGGTTCCTTGGCATGTGGAAATAGGTGTTCTGTAAGTATTTTTTAGTGACTTTTCCTTATTTCCTTCTTCTTCTTCTTCTTCTTTTTCTTCTTCTTCTTCTTCTTCTTCTTCTTCTTCTTCTTCTTCTTCTCCTCCTCCTCCTCCTCCTCCTCCTCCTCCTCCTCCTCCTCCTCTCTTCTTCTTCTTCTTCTTCTTCTTCTTCTTCCTCTTCCTCTTCTTCTTCTCTCTTTCTATCTCTCTCTGTCTTGCTTCGGGATCATTTTGCATTCTAAATTAAGTTCTCCATTGTCCTTTTCCTATCTTAATAGGATTATATTAAATTAAACCAGATAGAATTGTGCTTTTAAGTCAAAAGATTAAAAAGCAACAATTTCATATGGTTCAACCCAGTAATTCAACTGGTGTATGGGAGTTAATCTATTCACTCCAATGAGAAACTAAGACAAACAATTGATCACATTGAATTATCATAACATGATAGATTATGTATTCAATCAAATATATATATTCAATAAAAATGGCCTCTAGGACTAAGTGATGTGGCTGTTAGCAATAGTGACGAATTCATCAACAATCGAATATGCACTCCAAACTTTGGGCTTTGAGTATGTAACTGGGTACCTACTAGAAATTGACTTCCAGCATCCAGATGCTTGGTCTAGATGCTTTGCTACCCACTATTCATCTTTCTTCCCTAGAAACATTTAAAAATATTAATGCTTTAATTTTCAACTTAATGTATGTATCCTATTGTGGCTCTCCTTCTTCTGTTCCTACAAACATTCACCTGTTTGTCCCAATCTGATAGTCATTCCCTGTTTCATACTCTGTTTTAAAATGAGTCCTATTCTCTGGGGTTTTAATTGTGATATGAAGTACTAAATGTAGGTAACCAAAGTGATTATGCACCTGGCATTAGGTTAAGAATTATGGTAGAATGCTGCCTAACTTCACGACAGGGACTTGTGTCCTTGACTGAGAGGGTGACCATATAATTCATCACCCAAATATGAACTTTTTGAGAGTGCAAGCTGACCTATTAATAATTAGAGTAGGACAACAAACCTAAACAGAGACTATTTCAGGCAAATAGAGATATATAATCACACTGTAATTTGAGTGTTTCCACAGAACACATCCTGTGTGATACTCTGTGTAAAATAACTCACTGGAGAGTGGTTTAGATATCAATAATGAAAGGTCACAACATGTTATTATCTTTATAGGTTAACTTTATTCCCTTCAATTTTCTCATTCTAGATTTTGTTTTTTTGTTGGACCTTGTGGTAGACTCTACACATTTTGTTTCATGACTTCTGGTGGACAGCACAACCTTCTCTGATTTTCCTTGTTTTTTACCAGATTCATTGAAAGAAAGAAATTTTCTTCCTTGAGATCATATATTGTTCTGTTATTCACCTAATTCTTTGTTCTATAACATGCTTCTACAAATATAATCCTTTCTAATTGGATTAGAAAATGAATAAAGCAAAGTAAAATTACATGAGAATATTTGGTGAATTATCTTTAATTGTGAGGAGCAAGGTTTAGAGTGTAACAAATTCAGGCCAAAAGTCAAACCACTCATATTTTAATTTTATCTTTGCTATTAACCATCTATGTTGTTAAGTAAGCCCCCATATTCTCAAAGAAGCAGAGGAAAGAATAATCTCACTGCCTTCATGGTGCTAGGATGGTGTGGAGCTATGTATGAATCCCATTGGCTCCTTAAAACAGGCCTGGAATAGTAACACTACACTCCCCAAGTGCAAGTTTCATAACTGATGAAATTGAGTAACATGCCCTAAACCTTCACTTAGTGAATGGTAGGGCAGGATTTAAATCCAGGTCTGTCTGCAAAATTCAAGCTACCAGTCAATCATTTGTTTACTTATTTTGAAAATGGGAATCTTTTCCATGATTCAAAAGAATGTTGTAAAGATTGAGAGAATAAACAGATGCTACATGTCTAAAAATTTTTAAACCACCTACATAATTTGGTAGAATCTTTCCCTTATATTTTTCTATTCATCTCTTTACTTTTTAATTCGTGATTTAAACAAAATTTTTGAAATGCCACATTTTATAACAAGAAAGTAGATCACAAACATTTTGCAAATAATATCTAATTCTCTTTGATTCCATATCAAGTGTGACACCCCCATACTGGGACATCACGTCTGTTCCCAGGGGATCTATGCCATGGGTATTTGCATCTTTCTATTATTACTACCCTAGGTCACTCTGACATTTCAAAACAACTGCTTGATCTTGTATTTATATTGGGAGCCTTTATTAAACAAGATACAATTTGTTTGTAATTATTATGTCATTCCACCCCTGTCAGTAAGATGGTATTCTAGCTCAATCAGCTATAGTGCTACTATTTAAGGCAAGAGAAGAAGGTGAAAGGAGAACAAAGCAATTGCAAGGTTAGTCTCTATTTTCAAAGCATCACCTGAGGCTTCATTCAGATAATTTCAATTAACTTTTATGGAAGTCACTCAGCTAAAACCCCAGCAAATGCTACTGTAACTAGATTAAGTGCTCTAGAGCTACACAACTGCTGAAGAATTTCTACTATAATTTTTTTCAAGTGTATCAAAAAATATTGCTCCCAAGACTGACCTATGTGGCATGTTCCCCATGGTCTAATGCAAATTAGGATGACTGTGATATAAAGATCTCTGAGACCAGGGTCATAATGGAAACATTAGCAGACCCTTCACTTCAGAAGCCCTGCAGGGGGCCATTAAGATATTTTATGCAAGTGCTAGTGCCAGCCTGAAAGCAAGTGGCAAAGAGCAGGAAACATAAGCGACTGTAAAAAGAAAACAAAACAAAATCCCAATAAGTGACAATGAAGACATCATTAAAAACATAAAGGCAATGAAAATGCCTATGGTGTATTTTCCATTATCTGTGACCTTGGATTTCAGTGTTGGCTCTGTGCTCATTATCAGTTTAAGAAAAATACTGCCTTAGACCCACACATTCTTTGCATGATTCCTTAGAAGAGGAGGAGCAAAGCCCTAAGCTATCTGCCAAAAAACAATTTACTATAAATTCTAAGAGTATAGAATCCTGTAAGAGTTTTCCCTCTGCACTCTTCATTATTATCTCTCAGGGAACCCACCCAGGATGACAGGAAGATAAAAATTAGATTGAGGCCTTTTACACTGTTTTGACTGTTCATATCCTCCCGGTGTGTTATTTATATTAGCAAATTCAGTTTTCTACCTCAAAGAGACAGCTGGTTAACAAAACACTGTTGAACAAAAGAGATCTCTTAGCCACAGTTAAACTGTCAGGTCATCCCAGATTAGAATCACAGATAACAGTAATCTATATTACTCAACATAGGTTGTGATCCAAATTTGTAAGCGATTTCCAACAAGCCCTTTTTAAAAATAACAATCAATAGGTTTCTCAACTCCTAATGTGTTTATGTTTAGCCTTTTCTTCTGTAGTTTTTTTTTCTTTAACATAAAACCATTTTTTTTCTCAAAGTGAAATAGGTATTATTTACTCAAAGTGAAGTGAAAAACTGGGGCTAATTTCTCAACTACTTTCCATCAGAAGATACTTTATTCCAGATATCTCAAGGTTAAATTTGATGCCAGCACAGACTATCAAAAGAATATCCCCATTTCTTTCACTTGCCTTGCATGTATAAATTCAGTCCTTACATAATCTTTTTTTTTTGTAGAACACTAAATTAAATGTGCCACGAAGTCTGTGTTTTTCCAACATTTAGTTGATGTTTGATGAAAAATTTGGCAACTTAATTCTTATTAAAATGATTAAGTAGAATTATATTGGCAAGGCTCAGTTATCACGTAATGTTTGGGAAAGTGGATAGGAAGAAAGATAGTGAATAGGAAAGTCTCTTGCTTCTCTCTCTCTCTCTCTCTCTCTCTCATCAAATATATTTCTATGAGAATCTTCCATAATCAAAAATTAGTCCTAAAGAATTAAGAATGAAACATATTGGGGTTTACTCTTTGTGATCAGTCTGAAATAGATTTTGTTTTCCTTAGAAATAGTCACTTCCCCAGTAAATTAAATTATATTAATATTTTTTTGCTCATTACCAATACATTTTCTCCCTCAATTTTATACTGGCGAAATTCTAAGTAAAAGACCTACTTTAAAAAATCATTATATTTGAACAAGAATATAGAAATTACTTGCAGATAATATTATATTTGTCTTCATTTTGAAAATCCTTTAAAACTGACTTATAGCATTCATGAAGATTGTATTTGGTTAATATTTGAGGATTTCCCTTTGTACTTGATAGAGTTTAGGACCTGCTAACTCCAAATACAGCACTTTGGCATGTTGAATATTTTAAGTTGAAGGAGTTTGAGAAAATAGTAGAAGCAGAAAGATCACTCTGATCTTCCCCTCACCCTTGTCTACTGAAACAGATCATAAAATTCTCATGTGAGAGGTGCACTCCCTATGACCAGAGAAAAGGAGCATCCTTATCTCTGAAGACAAAAATACCCCAAGAAGAATCCTAATTAACAGGCCTTGCTAAATCCTTCCATTTACTAAACTTACCTCATACTCTCTTTGGGGAAAATAAATACTCTAATAAAAGAAAAATAGAGAAATATTCCATGGTTGTGGATAGAAGTTCTTGATATTATTCAGATGACAATACTATATCTTTCTACAAATTTTGTGCAAAATCAATTAAGGTCTATTTAGATATTTGAGAACTCAGTAAAATTACTTAAAAAGTTATTTGAAAAATAGATGTTCACAAATAACTACATCCTTAAAGAGGGAGAATAAACAGGTAGAACTTGTTCCATCAGATTTTTAAAAATTGAAATATAATTAGCATACAGTGTCATTACTTTCAGGTACAGTATGATTCAACAATTGTATGTACTATCCCATGCCTATCATAAGTGTATTTTTAATCCTCTTTATCTATTTCACCCCCAAATATGGAACACTTCATGAATTGGCATGTCATCCTTGTGCAAGGGCCATGCTAATTTCTGTATCATTTCAATTTTAGTGTATCTGCTGCTGAAGATAGCACTATCCTATAAGATTTTAAGACATATACTCTAAAATGCAGGCCTTGGGTCCTGAGTTATGTCTGCTTTCACATGATAAAAAGACCCAGGTAAGGATCTCACTAACTTTCTTTCAGATCCCCAGGAGGACATCTGAGGGAAAATGTAAAAAATGAAATAAAGATCTAAGAGACTATGTCTCAACTTGTAAAGTAACTCCATGCTAGGGAAAACGTGGACCAATGAAGACCAGTCATTTACCAGTAAGTTTAGCAACTCTTTCAACCTTGAAAAATAACACGTGGAGGGGCAGACGGAAGTTTTCTTATAAGCCAAAAGGTGGAAATGATGGAGAGGCATCTCTGAGGTGAGCATGGGGGTTGAGCATGGGGATGGAGGGAAATGAGCTGCTTCTACAAAAATATTCTATCATCCGATCACTGGGCCATTTTCAGAATCTTGAAAAATCAATTTGTGCCTAATTGTTTAGCATAAATAATTCTATCATTGGTGAATTTAAAGCATTTGGTATCTGTTTCTGTCTGTCCATCCATCTATATTGTTTGCAAAAATACATGCACATACACACCAACAACTGTAAATACCCATTTATATACACACTTGTAAGATGGCTATTTACATGCATGATGAGCAGGCTCACATTTGCCCTGAGGGAGATTAGTATAGCTCTCTCTGACCAGTATCTTTCTTTCCATTTTCCCCCCATTAATATTGAGCCTGAAGTCAATAGCATAGATTTGAGAATCAATAGGTACCATTTTGATTCAGTCATTACTATTTACATAGGTGACTGAGACCTGCTTATAGTCTCAAAATGTATGCTAGAAGAGGACAACCAACTCAAGGCCAATTTCCAGATCAAGGATTTTCTATTGCCTATACTTGTTCTACAGTCTGGCTTAAAGGTGGCAAACCACTTTTTTTTTTTTTAATATTAAGACTATCCTTTCCCCAATGCAGTATGGAATTTTAATTTAACATATTAAGATAAGATTAAAGACAATGTAATTCCCAAACTTATTCAAGTTCCCTTCATCTCTTTCCCCAATATTTACACCCAAGGTCTACCATTCTCACCTTGGTTGTCTATGGAAAAAAATATTTAAAATATTCTAGAGTCTGCTCTTGTTTGTTTTCTCAAACCGTATTTATAAAACTAAAAAGGTGATAACTAAAGTCATTAATAACGCTTTATTTCACTCCTTCACTCATTCATTCAGTAAATATTTATTGAGGGACTTCATTTTGCCATTCAGAGTGTTTGATCCAATGGTTAAAAAAATAGGCAAGATCTATGCTCTATGACGTTGATATGAAACAAATAAAGTAATTACAAATTGTGATGAATGAATGCTATGAAGTAAATAAAAAGGAAACTGAAATAAAAAAATAGTGGAAAGAAATGATTTTGGATGGGGCTTTTTCATTGGCAAATCCAAGTGGAGAGGACCACGTGATTTTTCCTGATGTAAGTAAACACATTTATTTAAACTTTAGTAACAAATCATAAAATACAAATATAGTGCATGAGTATTATTTAATTAACTAATAAAGAGAAATTTATCACAATTCTATCAAGTCATCTTGATGCATCAAGTAAAAGTTCCAAAGTTCTAAACAAAGACTCGCCTTGATGGTATTAGTAATTGGCAATAACAGATTTGAGCTGTCTCATTTTAGTCATGTCACTAAGTGGTTATATTTCCCAGAAGCCACACCAACTAGCACTGTGTCAAGAAGATTGAACTGCTCTGGGAAGGAATTCCAGAAATGGGATACCCAAGGGCTAAGATCTGAGATGTTCAGCAAAAAATGCTCTATTGCACAAGAGCTAAGTCACTACTCTCTACTTCTTAACCAAAGATCCAAGGGGTATATGTATGTATGCACACCTATGTGTGTATGTATGCATAGATAAGCCATTGAAATTATTCTCTGCAAGTGTAATCTGAACACAGTGAAAACCTGACACAATTTGGAGAAGACAGTGTTTCTTTTTGTGCCACTAAAATTATTTTAGCAAAAGTAATTTATAAATAACTGCATTAACATCTTTCACAATTAATTTCTGTATTAAATACTAAACTTGAAGCACAAAAGATGCCTTAATTCATGCCAAGTTCATGTAAAGCTGTATAACCTCATTTTTGGATGACAAATTGCATTGCTCTGGAGCTTTGCACACACATGTGAGAAAATACCCGCAGGAAATGTCCATAGCCACTTGAACATATAACACCTCCTATGGCTTCTCCATATATCAAATGCCCCTGGGATGATTTAAAGATTATTTGTTAAGAATGCATCTAGTCTACATTTTTAAAATATAAGTTCTAGCCAACAGATGAGCTAAATGATCCTTTATTGCCACCGAGCTCTTATTACCTTTCCAAGAAATCAGCAGTGTAAATATTATGTCCTGTGTCAACTAACACAGAAACTGGTAGAGCTAGGGTGCTTGAAATTTGGCATGGTGTGTAAATTCACAAGAATCCATCAAGCTCTTCTATTATTTAGAAGATTTGTAGGCTGTTTGTAGGGTAACAGATGTAGCCCCTATGGGTCACCAATCACCTGAATTATGCTTGGGACAAGGAAAGCAATACCACATACACCAGAGTTTGGTATTGTTCATTTTGGGGAATATCTTTTCCTGTAATGGCTTCCCAAAAAAAGTCTTCCTTAGCAGTGATCCATACTCTGCATGGTCATGTGTAATAGTTAAGGCCACTTCCTTGTGGTTGACAGACCGGTGTTGAATCCTGGTTTTACCTGTCACTATTTTCTTTTTATTTGGTCAAGACATTTGAAACTCAGTTGAATTCAGTTTCATTACCTGAAGAATAAGGAAGACAATAGGTGCATAATTAATTTCTAGTTGGCAGAACACTAGCAACTGGATTCTATTATTAATTTATATACATGAAGGTCTTAATTATTAGATAGAAGGGACAGAGACAGAAAGACAGCTATTTTTATTTGGAAATTACTGAGGTCAAAACTGTGTGTTTCTTTTTTTTAACTGTGTGTTATAAGAGATTGTATATTACAATGAGTCATTGTCATTGTGTATTAATTTAATACAGATTCTGGATATCATCAACAGTCATCACGTAAATCTGTTTGTGTGATGAGGGAAAAGGAGCAGAACCATGGCACCCTGAAGTTCCTTTTGTAACTCAAACCATAGAACTAGCACGTCACAGAGCCTCTGCCATTAAACGCTATCATGCTGATTAATTAAATACATTAAATATGAAATGCTGATCTAAAAATAGCTTATGGACAGTTAAGTAGTTGTTATAATCCTCTATATGGAAAGGAAATCTCATTTAGGATGCTATATATGGGGAGTAAGGAAGGCTCAGTGAATTGACTAAGGTTTCCAGTTAGTAATGGAGGAAAACACACTACTTTATTGCTATTAATAAGTCACAGACAATGGAAATGTGAAATGACCATAACAATAGCAATTCTAAGAATCTGATCTAGTATTTACTGAGCATTAATCCTGTGCCAGGTGTGCTACTAAATGTGCCCTATGTGCCATTGTCTCATTTAATTCTTGCCATTACCCTAAGACATAGGCACAAATATTATTTTGGTTTTCCAGATAGCTCAGGCTAAATGAGCATAAGTTGTCTGTGGCCACACAGGGATCAAGAGGTAAAGCCAGATCTCTTTGACTCCAAAGTTCAGTATTATGTGGCTCTCTAAAATTTCCTAGTCTAAACTTAATGGGATTATTTGCTTCTCTGTAAACAACCAGATGAACAGTTTTGCTGTGGTGTCCAATGCAATCAAGACAATGACACATGAGAGAGATGAATGCGTACCTTCCTCCAATAAAAGTATTTCTTTTAAAAAATAATGGAAAGAAATTTCCATAAATCTTGTCAGCTTTGTTTTGAAATTTTCTTACTATGACTCATAAGCATAAAACCCAAAGCTTCCATGAAAGATGGAGAATCCAAACAAAGTTGGAAAATATGTATTCTTTGAGTCTACAATACTGTCAATTCACTTTATTTTTGTGGCCTTGTTTTCCCTGGGACATAAATATCACATTTATGTCTGTGGGGGAAGTACCATATAGGGTGAGCCATGTTCTTTGCAAGAGTTCATTTTTTTCCCCAAATGATATATTATCTCATTCTTAGAATTGTTATGGGACCTGATGATAACCCATAATCTCCCTGCTCTTTGAGCATGAAGACATTACAGATTTTTACAGAACCTCTGTTCACAGTTAAGAGTTAAAGAGCAGAGGTTCCAAGCATTTCGGCCCTCACTGCACACTTGTGACATCTGGCCCATCACCATTAGTTGGGTCTTAAAGGCAGGGAGAAGAAAGCCCCCCCGTGCTTGCTTCTCCTACGTTTGTTTACTGGAGATGAATACCAAGAAGGCAATTATATCTCCTCCTAAAAACAGTCTTGACTGAGAAATGATAAACAGTCCCATCCATTGTTGAGAAAGTTGGTGAAAATCCCATGGAGATCTAGAAAAAACCTGAGTCGAGGAGTCTGAATACAAAATCTGGACAGGACAGAAAGGAGAAGGAGCAGAGCAAGAAGAGGGAAAGGGCAGGGGGAGGAGCAGGAGGAGGAAGCAGTACTATGAGAAGAAGTAGCACAAGGAACAAGAAAATGAGAATAAGAGATGCTCCGGGAAATGAAGTGAGTCTTGGTGTCCTTAAAAGATTCATCATATGGTGCCGGAACACTCCTGCAAAAAACAGACAGAAGTGAAGAGAAAACAAGCATAACAGTAATCACAAAGATGGTTTGGTGCTTCTGAAGAGCTTAGGAGAAACTACCTGAACATGAGACAGCGCAGAGAAGCTAAAAACTGTCATGTGCTCTTGAGAGCCTGTGTTGGCAAGCAAAATTCAACTCTGCCTCAGTCTCTTATAGATGAAATTAGATAGCTAAACCCCCAAAAGAAAAGTCAAACCCCATATGTCTTAACCAAAATAAACATCTGATGATAAGATAAATAA